CTGGGCGGACCCGGAGGGCCGGCCGGGTCCCTCCGGGAGCGGCGACGCCCGGTGCCAGCCGCGCTTCGCACCGTTTGTAGACCTGGGGCTGGAAGCCGGCTTGTGCAGGTGTCAGCGGAACCGGCCTCCTGAATGTCCCTTTATTTGAGGCCCCAGAGCGCTGTCGCGCGTGACCGGGCGTGACTTGGGGCAGAGGTGCCCGCAGCTGCTGTGGGAGCCGCTGAGGAGCCTCGGGCAGCGCATGGGCCCTTCTGCAGACGTGCTGCCAGGATGACAGGCGTGACGGTGTCGCGTGGTTAGTGTGAGGCTGGGTTTAAAGAACCCGTGCGTCTTTTTGCCTCTCCACCTGGATCCGTCTCGTTTCCCGGTGCTTAGAGCTGTTTCTCCGGGGCGGTGACACTTTCCAGAGCGAGGGGGCCAGGCATTGTCTCTAGAACGGAGCAGGTGAACAGCTCAGACTTCCTCCTTCAACAGGTATTTGTTGAGTGTCAGTCGTGTGCCGGGCACTGTTCATTGTAGGTCCTGGGACACGCGTCCTTGCCCTCGCGGAGCTCACGTTGTGGTGGAGGGATGGGGACAGTCAGTGAGGCGACTGCTGACAGTGTTGGCTGGCGCTTGGGTGGGTCTGGGCAGCTGTGTGGGGACGTGACTTTTGAGCCACCGACTCTATGGCGGGAAGGTAGCTGTGCAAAGGTGTGGAATAAGAGCGTTTCAGGCAGAGTGAAGGGCAAGCGTGAGAACCGTGAGGGAGGAGGCAGTTTGGCGTCCTTAGGTGGAGAAGTGGGGCAGAGGCATCATGAGAAAGGAGGAAAGTGACCAGCAAGGGTGCAGTGGAGGGAGAGGCCAGATGGGGTGCAGCTGCGTGGTTTATGGTGGGAGGCTTGGATTTTATTGCCAGTGTGATTGAAAGCCACTGGGACATTGTAAGCCATATATAGGTGACTCATGGATTTTTTTAAATTTTGAATTGCTTTCCTGGCCGGGTGGCTCAATTGGAGCATCATCCCATATTCCAGAAAGTTGTGGGTTTGATTACAGGTCAGGGCCATACCTGGGTTGCGGGTTCAATCCCCGGTCAGGGTATGTGCAGGAGGTGACCAACTGATGTTTCTCTTTCCCTTCCTCTCAAAAAAAATTTCTTTAATTGTCCCATTAATATTGCAAACATAACCCTTTGCAGGAGTGAGAGCTCTTTCTACCTTGAATAGTGAAAAAAGGAAATAAAAATCATCTGACTTCACTCAGATTCACAGTGGCCCCTCTTTTTTGTGGCTGGTTGCCTTAAGTTGCAGTATACTTTAAGCGATAATATATTCAGTTGGCATGTACTTATAAAATTTTTTTTTTTAAATATATCTTTATTGATTTCGGAGAGAGGAAAGGAGAGGGAGAGAGATAGAAACATCAATGATGAGAGAGTCATTGATCGGCTGCCTCCTGCACGCCCCTGATTGGAGATCGAGCCCGCAACCCAGGCATGTGCCCTGACCAGGAATCGAACCCTGATCGCCTGGATCCCAGGTTGATGCTCAACCACTGAGCCACGCCTGGCCGGGCGTGTACCTATCAATTTTGACAAGTAGCAATTGAAAGGAAATAACACTAATGATAATAGTGGCCGTTTTGTGGGCATTGGAGAGACCCTTTGCCTTGTTATTTTCTCCTCTTACTGGTGAGAGTGGTTAACCAATATGCCCATGCTCTCACCTCTCAGGCAGTGGGGTCTGGATTTGAAGCCCAGACATCTCTGCCAAGCCTGTCGAGGCTTCTCAGCAGTTCACTCTGTGTATTGGTCTCTGTGTACTCCCATCACTAGTCATTGGCTACATGGTAGAGCAGGTGATGTCAATCCCCATGGGTGCCTGTTCATGGGACAGGGTAAGAAAATTTTCAGAGCAAATGCCCCTGGAAGAGCAGGCACACCTATGTCAGCCCTCCTTGTGAGGACCGCTGCTCCACTCTTATCCAAATGTGTGGAATTTGTAAGCTGGAGAGGAAAGTCTTGTAAAGTTTTTTCCTGAACCATGCGAAACACAGAACAGTGCATAGGATAATATGAAACATATTTTAAAGGAAGTAAATACCAGCATTCCCACAGAATGAGTAACGGCTAACTCCTTACCTATTACAAGGAAACAAGGTGGTAATGTCCTCCGCCACTTTACAAGCCATAACCAGTTGCCAGAGTGTGCAGAGTTCTGTTCCCTTAAGCTTGGCCTTGCAGGATGGGCTAAACGACGCTGGTCACCTCCTGTGAGATCTCTCTCTGCCCCCATTCCATGGTGGCTGCCTTTCCATGTCCTCAACCGTTCTGCTTCCCCAGCGCAGAGGACAGTGACCACGTTCCCACAGCTGGTTCTGAGAGGTGGCCTCAGCACCTTCACACCAGGTCTCCTGGAAGGGGGAGCCTGTGAGCCCTTTGAGTGCTTAGGCCTGTGTGTCCTACGCAGAAGTCCCTGGCCACATGTGGCTATTTACACCCAAATTGATTAAATTTAAATTGATAAGTAAAAACTCAGTTCCTCGGTTGCCTAAACCCTGCCCCCAGCCCAGTGGCCACCTGTGCCAGTTACAGAGCTTCTCTGTCCTGGCAGGATGGTCTTTGGCCTGCACCAATAACAATAATAAGCACCTTTAGGAACAGGCCTGGGTGTGGCTGGTTCAGCATTTATCCTCAATACCTAGGAAATTGTATGCGCTCAAGAATTTTTGTTGAATGAATAAATCTGTATTTGTTTCTTATATATATGCAAATTGGGAAGCAAATATTAATCTTGGAATTGTTACTTCAAATCTGGCAATGAAGTTCCATAATATCTTCTTCCTATTTTCCCTCTTATCAGGTATCATGATATTACTCGGTTTGATTTCAAGCCATTTATGAGACCCTAAATCTCTCAAAAATGGAAAACATAGTGCCATCCTTCCTGGGGGATCCTGACTGTTGGTGATGGCAGAGCTGAGCCTGCCAGCAGCTCACAACGTGTCAGCCCAGTCTGAGTGGTCCTGACCATGGACGGAGCATCGGCTGTTCAGGGGAGCCTCTTGGAGGATGGATCCCACAGTGGCACCTCAGCCCTTCCTGATGCCCTCCCAAAGGCCCTGGGCCCACAGGCACCACCTGACCAATGGGACAAAGCCCAGCGTAAGTCACCAGGCACTGTGTGTACTGCTGACACTCTGCCTTTAAACAAGAGGGCATGGATCAGTTTGCATTTTGTAGGGAGACCGTGGTGTATAAGACAATGAACTTTTCATTCTAAGTGTGTTTTTAGTAATCAGATGAGTGTCTTTTCTTAGTTGATGCCAACTTTAAATCAAGTACCATGCGTGTTAAACAGAATAGGAACTGCTCCACTTTCCGCCCCAGCAGGGTGGGACTACAGTGATTTCCCTTAAGGTTTCTGTGGGTGTCTCTCACACATTATTGTCCCCCCACCTAGTATTCTACCTTTCTGCTTGGTTGGCTGTCAGAATTTTACTAACTGGGGTCCAGAAAAGCCCAGTAGTGATCTAAGGATTATCACATTTGCACATTAGCTGAGCTGATGGGTTATTTGTTCATGGTAAGTACAGGGTAAATTATTTGCTGAGTCTTTATGACCAATTCTGGTCAGACAATACAAACACAAGCACGTGCGAAGTTTCGTCATTATTTGTTTATCCATAATTAGGCTTGTGTTTGGAAACAGTCTTGTTTATTCGGCCTTCTCACTTTTAGGTATTTTTAAAGTACAATATGATGCTCTATGATGCTCAATAAATACTTTGTTAACATAAACTGAGCTTGATATTGGTATATTGTCCTCTTTGGATAAACGTGGGCCTCTACCTGACAGGTGTTTGTTGAGCAGAAGCACAGACTTGGGGCTCAGCTTTGCCAAAATCATTCTGATCACCTAATCCACCTCTTTGCCTGAGATTTCTCTTTTTGGAGGATGAGTTTATACTTTGAAATGAGGCTGTGGCTCTGATTAGCACTGTGGTTTCCGACACCCATTAGAAACAGTGTCAGCTATGTTTTAAGCATTTGTTTTCTTTTGCTGTCTTGTTAACACAGACTTTCACAAGATTTCTCATTGGTCTTGTTTAAATGAAAGAAATTTTTCTGGTTTAAATTGTTCAACCAGAGTGTGAGGGTGAGGGCATTCCACAGAAGAGGATAGCAGGCTCTGAGCTGTCGAGCGGCCTGTCTCATGTCCCTGCCCACAGCAGGACAGCCAGGGCCTCATGAGCAGATGCAGGGTGAGGAGATTGCTCCTGCTCAAGTCACCAGGTTCTCTTTTGTCCTGTTTTAGCTGTACCTGCAGAATGACCTGATGGGGTGGTTGCCATCGTGATGGCCCAGCATTGTGATGGCCCAGCCTGCCTTCTCTTCCAGGTGCCAGCGTCGCGGTGGACAGAGCTATGGCTGAAGGAGAAAGCCCAGACGTGCCCAACGAGGGGGATGCATGTCAGAATGGGCCGACATCACAGCTCCCAGGCCCTCCATCAGCGCTCAGTCCCATCAGGAGCCCAGTGGGTCCTGATGCCCCTCCAGGTGTGGCTGGTTTCCATGACAACCTAAGGAAGTCTCAGGGGACTAGTGCTGAGGGCAGTGTTAGAAAAGAAGCTTTGCAGTCTCTCAGACTCAGTCTTCCTATGCAAGAAACGCAACTGTGTAAGCATCCAACCCTGCGCCACCCACCCAGCCTTTCCCCCCACCCCTTCCCCTACCCGCCATCCCCATGTCCCATCAGCCACCACCTTCAGAGGCATTCTCTTTTGTCCACATGTTGGACTGCGTTTATCAGATGGCTCCATTTTAGAGAGAGAATACACATCTTCATGGTCCGATATCAAGGGATTTAAAGGGCACATCCTGGATGGTGAGCAGGAAGCCCATGGAAAATTAGTTTCAACAGTTACACTTTCTTTTATGAATTATTTTAATCAGTGTTGATTTTGTGCTGATCCTTGGAGATTCAGAGGTGAACAAGTCACAAACTGGCAGCCTGTGAGCCCAAGAAAGTGCCAGGCCGTTGTCTAACCCTTTGTTCTCATACGCAGACATACACTTTTACACAGTGGGGTCATATCACCCCTTCAGGTTGGCCACATTCTCACATGACCCTACATAGGCCTCTGTAAACAGACAGGGTGGGGTCATTGCTTTTTTAGACGGGCTTTGTTGCTCCCATCATTGCACGTTTTCACACACACACTGCCATGTGGACTGGCCCGGGTCGTCTGCTGCAGTGCGCATCTTGTGCTCACCACAGCATTGCCGCTTCGGCTTCTGGGGCTGCGTCCCGGGAGCAGGCCTCTTGGTCTAAAGCAAATGGCATTTTTATTTTTTTCTCTCCTATGTAGTCATATGGTTATACCACTAACGACCCATGAGAGCATGCTGTCATCCACCCCTCCTGCACCCAGACACTTTCTTTTCCACTACACTGGCCTGGTGGGTGCACCCTGATGCTTCCTGTGACTCTAATGTGAACCTTGCACTTGCCTGATTGCTGGAGGGCCTGGGCCATTCGGCCATTCCTTTCTGTAAATTGTCTTTTCATATATTTGGCCCATTTTCCTCTGAATTGCTTGCCTTTTTCTTCACAGGCATCATTTTGTTAAGACCACAGTATGTTTTAAAAATTTCTAGGAACTCGTTGTCAACATTTAAGTCAAGAGACATCATGTAAAAGCCTGGATTCCTGCTCTGAGGAATATATGAATATGTGAGCTCTGGCCTCAGGGTGCCCACGTGGCAACAACCTGCGGCTATGTGCTACACTTCTTGGGGAGTGTTCACTCATGACCCTGGCTCTCAGGCTGTGGCCCTTGTGTTGAATTTGCAGATTTAGGTTCCTTGCCTGCAGCCACAGGCCTCTGGGTTTCTGACATCTGGACCACTTAGCCTTGAGAGAAGTACTAGAGGTCTGATAAACGCACAAATTAGTGATGACATTGGTGAATTTCTAAGGAAATTATTGGAATTCCAGAGCTCAGGTCTTAGGGGTTATTTAAAACAACAGCTACTATCTTGTCGTAATCAGCATCTGAAGGTGGTGGTGTCTATGAAGTGGTTAAGTGAGGACATTTATCTGCTCTCATCAGATATTCCGTTAGCAGCCTCCAACACACGTGTCTGCTGCATGTGGCAGAAACCTGCACCTTATACCATTTTACTCACTGTCCACCCTTTATCACCCAAAGTGAAACTTTTCAGTTCAGATATTTTAAATTCTGTTATTGGCCAGAAGTATAACATGACTCATTATTGCAGGAATTTAGGTAAGCTGTGTATCAAATCATATCTCCAGATGTAACTGCATGAAGAAAGCACGTTTGGTGTGACACGCTCACATGGCTAGTGTCATTCCATCAAGACAGCTCTTCACTGGTTCCTCTGGAACCTCAGAGGCCAGAGTTAGAGCTCGGTGAGGGCTCACCACAGGCACCGACTGAGTTCAGTTCTTTTGTTACTAAGGGGCAAGTTGCCCATGTCCTCTCGTACCCGCTTGGTGCTGTAGGGAGCCCAGGCTCAGCATGGCCAATGCATCTTTTACTAGATGGGTCCCTCTGGCGGCCAGTGTCCAGGGCTCCACAGTTTTTCTCCACCTGGAAGGAGGCCTCTCAAACTAGACGGTGTGCATTGTTTAGAAGCTAAATCATATTGGTAATTAAATGCAACACAGACAAGCTCCTGTCCTAATTTGTCCTTTGTGCCCTGGTGCTTCCTGAGTTTCTAAGTGGCTGTCTCCCTGCCGCAGGCTCCATAGAGGCTTCGCTGCCCCTGGAGAAGGAGGAGCAGGTCCGACTTCAGGCTCGGAGGCGGCTGGAGGAGCAGCTCAGACAGTACAGGGTGAAGCGCCAGCAGGAACGAGTGAGTCCCACTCTCAAGCAAGCTGCTGGAGAACTTCCGTGTAACAGGCCGTGATTAGTCAGACGCAGTTCTAGGATCTGCTAGTTACTTCTCTGAGCCTGTCTGGAAAGTTCATTTCTCTCATTTGGTTCCCAGCCCTTGGGGAGTTTCCACCAGGGCCCTGGCTCCACCCCGTCGGCTCCTCTTGCCTTGAGCCAAGTGCCTTCTGTCCCTAAGGCTGCTATCTGGGGAGCAAACAGCAGCACTTGGGGGTCACTGCTTGTGCTTGAGCAGCCAGCAGTCCTAGGCCTCTGAGGAGAAATGGTGTTGTGATGTACATGTTGGTAATGCCTTGGGAAACTAGAGAATCAACTAAAAATTATAAATTTGTAAAAATATAAAATTATTAAAATAATTAGGGTTCAGAAATTTGGTTTAAAAATACAAATATTAAAAATCAATAGTTATCCTAATAGGACCAGTTACACTGTTAGTAGGAAAAGGTAGTATTTGTCATAGAGAAGGTAAAATATCTAAGCATTAGATTAAAATGGCAATGAAGTGGTTTAGAATCAAGATGAGCGCTATGTAACTTCCTTTGCAAGCAGTTATGAATAGGTGGAGGGAAACAGCTCATTATCTTCTAAGTAATTATAGATTTAAGGTAGTTGTAGTTCAACAGGACTTTTTTTTTATAACTTGAAGAAAATTAAGTTTATCTAAAAGTACAAACATGGGAATGTAGCCAGAAAAATGTAAAGAAGGCGTGAGGAGGAAGGACTTGCTGATAGCTGCTTTTAATTGTAAAGCAGTCACAGTCATTGATGGCATGTGCTTAGGTGCTCCCTGGACGGGACTCTGGACAGTGAGACTGCAGAGAACAGCAGGCCAGGCTGGGGAGGGGGGATGCATGCAAGGGGTGCTTGTTTGCCCTGGGAGGGAATGTCATCTGTGCAGCCTGTCGGGGGGCACGTCTTGAGTGCTGCTGTCAACTTCAAACTAAGTGTTTTGCTTCTCCTCAGTCCAGCCAACCTGCAACTAAAATGAGACCTTTCAGCACACTTGATCCTGAACTCATGTTGAACCCAGAAACCTTACCAAGGGCCAGCACTGTGGCCATGACAAAGGAGTATTCCTTCCTGCGCACCAGTGTGCCTCGGGGGCCGAAGGTGGGCAGCTTAGGGCACCTGGCACATTCTAAGGAGAAAAAAAGTTCCAAATCAAGCAAAATTCGGTCCCTGGCTGATTATAGAACTGAAGACTCAGACGCTGGGAATTTGGGTGGAAATGTTCTGGCCACAGACTCCACTAGGGGCTCCCTGAAGCAGAACCGAAGCAGCGTGACAGCAGTGGTGTCTGAAGTCAGCCTGGGCCCTGAGGCCGATGACCTGGAGAACTCGTCCCTGACTGGAGACAACATGTCTGAGGCTGATGGGAATGAGAGTGACAGCTCTTCCTATAGTGGTGTCTCCACCCGGGGAGTGCTCGGCCTTCTGGTGAACAGTGCAGGTAGGCGTGAAGCCTCCTACGTGATCAACGGCCAGGAGATTGCCGCCAGTTCCCTGGGCCAGTTCCCGTCCATCACGGATGTCCTCCAGGCCGCTGCAGCCGAGCACCGAGACCGGGGCCCAGAGGTCAATGGGGAGACGCGGAGCCGGACAGACAGCATCTGCAGCAGGTGGGTGAAACACCTGATTCATAGTCCTTCACGTTTCACTTACACACAAATCTTTTGCTTTGTAAGAATGGTTTAGAGCCGCTCAGCCACCGTCTGTGATACTAGGACATCCTGTCTCCCAGCATTTTATGTAGACCTGCCTCTAAAAGAGCACAGGTGCTCACCCTGTCTCACATCTCCATACAGGAGTTCCAGCCACGTGAGGCTGAACATGCCCAACTGCAGTTGGGAGTATTTCCAGGCAGCTCTCCACTGGAATCTTTATTTACTTTAAACCTTTGGGGGAGAGTAACAGGGGTATGAGGTTTGGCGAGTGTGGACAAAGATAAAGGTAATGATCACGGGTGCTCCCTCTGCCTGACCATTTGTGCCTTTTCCTCCAGTGTGTCCATGGAAGGCTCTGTGGCTGAAACTCATGATGAGATGTTGCAGATTCTTAAAGAAAAAATGAGACTTGAAGGACAGCTAGAAGCCTTATCCCAGGAGGCTAGTCAGGTATGGGGTGTTTGGTGGACATGTCATGTGCCGTGTGCTTCCTGATCATTGGGTGGAGTTTCACTTGTTTTTCTGAATAAGCTGCAGCACCTGTCTGGAGAATCCACCTTCTCTGGGGTAACCGTCGTGTTAGACGATGGGGTAGTTTGGGAAACATGGTGCTTTCCTGGAAAGCTCACCTGTCGGCACCTTTTTTGTCTTGCTAGTTAATGTGGCAGCCTTCTTAATGCACAGGGTGGAAGTGACTGAATTTCCTGGCAGTCATTGTAGCTGTTTGGCCATCTTTCCAGGCACTAAAGGAAAAGGCAGAGCTGCAGGCCCAGCTGGCTGCCCTGAACACACGGCTGCAGGTGCAGGAGGAGGACAGCCACAGCAGCCAGCGGAAGCAGGATGCGCTCAGTTCGGAGGTGGACACCTTGAAGCAGTCCTGCTGGGACCTGGAGCAGGCAATGAGCGACCTGCAAAACACACTAGAGGCCAAGAATGCCAGCCTGTCGTCCTCCCACCACGACCTGCAGGTGGCAGAGGAGCAGTATAAGCGACTCCTGGCCAAAGTGGAGGAGATGCAGAGCAGCATGCTCAGCAAGGACAGCACAGGTGGGTGCACTGGCCTGGCGTCTGTGGGTTTGACCGGCATGTGGGGTGCACCTCAGATGCCTGCTCTGGGGATCAACCTGTTGTCACATGAATGTGCTGGGGGTCCTACTCCCTTCTGATTTGTACACGAGGTGCCCACTTTTCTGCATGTGCATCAGGGTGGCCTACATCTTAGAAGTGGACTTTGACCCAAGTCAGTCATCGTTTCCCCTCACTGCCTGTGGCATCCATCGCCTGTGGGGCTGGAGCGGCCTGCTTGTTCCACAGAATTGCAGGTCTGATTTAAAATATGTAAAAACCTACCTTAAGTTCAGCTGTGGTTCTAGCTAGATCCCTGTGGGGACCGCCTATGTATGGAATGACATGTGAGAGAATAGTGGAGTCCAGGGAACCCGGGCAGCAGGCCATGCATGGAGCACTTGGGGGTGCTCCACATCCAGACAGGCACTGAGAAGGCTGGCTGCCAGCTCGGCATCTCGGCATTGGTTGGATGTCACACCCTGCAGCACAGGCTGTGTAGATGGGCCTCTGCTGGCAGAGTGGCCATCTGGGAGCTGGGAGCAGCTGGTGGGGCTGCTGTGAAGGACCATGTCTCTCAGTGTAGAGTCTTGGCCTTAAGGCTTGTGACACTAGGTGTTAGGTCTAATGACATAAAAAGAAAAGTGACAGACTGCTGTCACAAAGGCTTTTTCCTGACACTAGAAAAAGAGCACACCAGCTAAGAAACAACATGGTAGACTGTAGTTTTTGAACATTCTACGATACCCAGTTCCTCAAAAAAGTTATAAAATTGAAAAAGTCCTGAACACAAAAATAATTTTATAATTCTGGGTTGCCAGGCTTGACCTGACTAGAGCTCATCGGGCAGCGAATGGATCTACACTCACATGAGGCGCAGTGACATTTTTGGCATTTTTGTGCACTTTCATGTGGTTTGCTGTTTACAAGGAACCTGAATCACTGTGGTGTTCCTAAGTGCAAGGAGGCTGCGATGTGTTCTGTGGAGAAAATGTGTGTTGAGCTTCATTCCACGTGAGCCCTGGTGCTCATGAAACATGTAGGTGACAGACATGCCTGACAAGGACCAGTTGATGAAATGTTGTGATGAGAATCTAAACCTGCACCCCCAGGAGCCATGGCTCAGCACCGAGACTTGGACGGGCTGGGTCCCTGCTCTGCAGGAAGGTCGGCCTGACCTGGACATTCAAGCACAGCTGCGGGCTCCTGCTTTAGGCTGGTCTGAGCGCTGTGCTTTCTTGCTTCTAGTGCACGACCTGCGGCAGCAGATGACAGCCTTGCAGAGCCAGCTGCGGCAGGTGCAGCTGGAGCGCACAACGCTCACCAGCAGGCTGAAGGCATCCCAGGCGGAAATCACGTCTCTGCAGAGTGTCAGGCAGTGGTACCAGCAGCAGCTTGCCCTGGCCCAGGAGGCCCGGGTCAGACTGCAGGGCGAGATGGCCCACATCCAGGTATGGCCCTGACAGCACTGGGGAGCTCACACTTCATGTCCCATGTGGAGCAACTGCTTTTCCCTAAATTAAAAAGACTTCTTTTAGATTTCACAGGTACATTTTTTAAACATCTGCTACCCACCTGTGCCCCACACCCATCCTGTACAGTAAGCACCTTTGTGACCAGGGGATCTCATAGCCCCTAAAAATGCCCCTCTCTGGAGCATCCTGTGTTCTTAGTCTGACTGCTAACTCATTGCCCTGTGAGGGTGCCTCTCAAATCCACATCTGCCCAGTCCCTGCCTCCCTGTGACGTTTCCAACACGCACAGAGCATAGCCTGGGCTCCCTTCCCAGCTGGACAAGGACCAGATCCTCCCTTTTGCTTTGGGAGCTGGCGCAGGTGCGAAGTCGCGCTGGGGCCGCTCCTTCTGGGCTGTGTTCTGCTCTGGAAGACTCAGAACGCCAGCAAGTGGCTGAAATGCACTTTGCAATGAACCTCAGTGTTTTGGACTAATTGGGTTAATCATGAGGGTGACGAGTGGTGCCTCCATCGGCCTCAGGCTTCCTTTTGAATTTAGCTGTGGATCTTGTCTCCGCCCCTCCTTTTTTGTCCAGATAAAATATCGAGAGTTAAAATTTTATCACGTAGAGGATGTGAAACGCTAATTCCACCAAATGCTCCTTTTTTAAAAAACCGAAGTCAACACATGTACAAAGCAGAGGTTTTCTTAAATGTATATCACATGTGTAAGCCGAAGGACCCCACAGACCAGCATTGATTCTGCTTACAACATACTTAGAAATAAGTCATTTTACAACTCAGTTTAGTTTTGAAGCTACGGTGCATTTATATGAAGCATAAAGTATTTAAAGAACCCAGATTTATCTAAATGACAAAAGTCAGAAATGGAGTTTGGAAGAGAAAAACAGGCAGAGTCCAGGGAGTGGCAGTTTGAGAAATGTAACTTTTTTTTCAAATCCCCCTGGGACCCAGGTTCAGCATTCCTTAATTAGGGTGTTTACTGCATTTTCCCCTTGTCCCGTAGCATAGACATGCTTTCAGGACCATCCAGCAGGGAGGAAAGTCAGGGTGTTCTTTATTCTCTCCTGGCCTCAAGACATGGTCCCCGTAGATGGCACCTCCCTTGCTCTAGCACTCTCGTCAAGACCCCGGAACACGTGTCCTCCTAGGGGTGTTCCCGTCGCAGACCTGTGTATCCTCTAGACTTCTCTTTACTGACCCCTCCTCTGGGCGCCGATGTGTTCAAAGCTGGGCTCCTTTTTCTCGAGGAGACAGTGGTCAGAGGAGGCCTGCCTGACGGCCTCGGTCATACCCTGGGCTGGACTGCCAGTATTATTTCCAAGAATGGCTGGGGCCAGCCTGGTGTGTCCAGGACAGCCAGACACTGAAATATGTCTGGCCACAGCTGGTCAGTTCACCTGACGGGCAGATCTCCAGCACCAGCTTCACCTGCCTTCCAGATGAGGCCCCTCACTTAGGGCTCACAGATGCTGAACCTTCAGTGGGAACTTCTGTGTAGGTCTCGTCACAAACTACATATTCTCAGGGGAATGACCCCTGGCTTCTGGGCTGCCAGCCTGCCCCTCTTAGGCACACAGAACCTGCTGGCCCTGGTGTCAGGTGGCTGGCAGGAGGGTGGGCAGTGCAGACCTGTATGGTGGGCTCCTAGGGAGCAGCCTCCCAGGGGCTATCACCAGGCAGACCTCACCCTGACGGCCTTGGGACAGGCTGGTCTGCGCTCATACTTGAAGTCGATCCACTTCCCACCTTTTTTTTTCTTTGCAGGTTGGACAGATGACCCAGACGGGCCTCCTGGAGCACCTGAAACTTGAGAACGTGTCCTTGTGCCAGCAGCTGACAGAAACCCAGCGCAGAGCCATCAGGGAGAAGGAGCACGTGGCCCTGCGGCTCCGGGGCATCGAGGTGAGTGCCCTCTGCCATGGCGTGTGAGCGGGTTGTTTTTGGTGGTTTCTTTGGATTCGGCTTTTTCAGGGCCACTGGTCAAGGGTAAGAAGATACACAAATGCACACATGCACGTAAATGCTCACATCACATGCACACATTTGTGTGTCTTATAAAGTGTTGAAAAACCTGAGTGGTGAGGTGCAGGGCTAAGTTCCTCATGCACGCTCTCCCTGAAGGTCAGTGGTACGTTGTCTCCCCTGACCCGCAGGGGCCTGCGTCCCAGCGCTCAGCCCGGCGGTGTATGGTGCTGGGCAGAGAGTGGGTAGGGAGGGAGGAGTTGAGCGTAGTGCCTGTCGGAGAGCATTTTAGAGTCTAGCAGTGATAAGCATATTCTTGTCTCTGAGCCCTCAGCCTATGCTCCTGTTGAGTCCTCTAGCACATGCACTGGTTAGGGTCAGGGCAGCTGCCTTCCACCCCATGGCCCTTGGCTCCTTTGTTTGCAGGTTGTGGACAGACAGTTCTATGGTCGAGGACCCCTCACCACCTGGCAGGTTTTCTGCTCAGTCTGCTGTGGCCATCAGGTTACCCTGCTTTTAAAAATACACTCTCTTCTGGGCCCAGGCTGACATGTTGGACCAAGAAGCTGCCTTTGTGCAGATTCAAGAGGCGAAGACGATGGTGGAGGAGGACCTGCAGAGGAGACTGGAGGAGTTCGAGGAGGAGAAGGCACAGTTGCAGAAGATGGCGGCCTCAGCAACGGCCCTGGAGCAGCAGCTAGAGCAGGCAAGCACCTGCCGTGGCCTCCCACAGGCGCCAGGCCCACATGGACCGGCCTCGCGTGGCTGTCCTCACTGTGTGCATTTCTTCTGGTCTGTTTGTCGAATTCATTTTAATGCCACATCATCAGACCTGCTGCTTTCACAGACCCGGCCAGGCTCTCGCTTCTGCGAGTGTTATTGTACACCAGATCTTTACGTACAGAAGATTGGCTGTTGCAGTGTCCGTGCAGATGGTCTAAAGCCTAAGCATGGGAGCAGTATAAATTCTGGAGCGGGAGGTCATACTGAGTCTAGTCCCTTTTCCAGGTGAAGTTAACGCTGCACCAGCGAGACCAACAGCTTGAGGCCTTGCAGCAGGAGCACCTGGACTTGCTGAAGCAGTTCACTTCGACACAGGAGACCTTGCAGAGCCGGGAGCAGGCCCTTGGTGACCTGCAGGTGCGCTACGATGAGCTGCAGGTCCAGCTGGAGGAGCTGCAGGGCGAGGGCGGATCCAAGGACGACACCATCCGCTTCCTGCAGAACGAGAAGATTGTCTTGGAGGTGGCTCTGCAGGCGGCCAGGAGCTCTGGGGAGGAACTCGACAGAGGAGTCAGAAGCTTGGAAGAAGGTGCTGAGGAAACATCAGAAATTTTGGAGCAGTTACGACAGGAATTAGCCATCAAGTCCAGCCAGGTAATGCCATTTGCCCTCATTTTGTACGAGTCACAATCATGCGTGTGAGTATCGACGTTGTTGGTTTGGTTCTTTCTTTGAACCCCTTGTTTTGTAAACATGAAAGTGTGTCCAGGGCTGGGCCCAGGCTCAGCTGTGGAAGGATCCACTCCTGCTGGTGGTGGGCTTCTGGCCTGCTTTAGCTGTTAGGCACATAGAGGCTAAGAGCTGGGAAACAGTTCTATTTGGACTTTGAAAGTAATGTGCCAGGAAACAGTTTCTGTCCACGGATGACATGGAGCTCAGACAGGGAAAGCTGTGTGGAACTTTTGTCTTCTTCCTGTGTACCTGAGTGGGGGACCCACAGGACTCGGCACAGGATAGTCGTGTCGGTGGGCAGACAGCTGAGTGTCTGGGGTTGTGGACTTGACCTAGCACCCCCACCTGGGAGCCATCATGCTAGCAGCTGATTTGACTTGACATAGGCGAAAGTTAAAAATACAGACAGGGCAAGGAGGCTTCAGGGTATGCAGGAAGTAGAGTTGGTGTCAGAGAATAATTCTGTTCTGATTCCACCCCATAAGCATCACAACAAGAAAAAAATCAATGACATTTTCCCGTTGGGAAGTAAAACTGAGGGAGGCTGTTTTCACTGCAGATGTTGACTGAGCTAAGTTACTTCCTAGGACAGAGGCAGAGGCAGCTTGTCAAGCCGGCAGGGGTGTAGTTATAGGGATTGTGCAAGTTCTTTTGATAAACTTGAATTTGACTTTACCGACTATTGGTAAGAGGTACACCAGCAGACACTTGGAAAGCTCTGGAGGAGGCATTTGTTGGTACTAGGCATTATTGATCATGTCTGAGTTTTACCTGTGGTTTTTTGTTTTTGTTTTTTTTAAAAATATATCTTTATTGATTTCAGAGAGAGAGAGAGAAACATCAATGATGAGAGAGTCATTGATCGGCTGCCTCCACACCCCACCAGGGATCGAGCCCACAACCCAGGCACATGCCCCAACCAGCAATCGAACCCAGGATTCTCCTGGATCCTAGGTCGACGCTCAACCACCGAGCCACACCCGGACGGGCTACCTGTGTTACTAACGAACACACTGGTAGCTACTCTGTGGATTAAGATGATTATTCTAAAAGTAGTGGGTAGGTGGCATTCCCATCTCCCTGGAAGGTCTTTCGGCCCTGACTTGGGGACTGGAGTGCCCCCATGTCCCTCGTAGGCACAGGGCCCTCCTGGAGCCATCATTAACTCTGTGCACGCCTTCCCTCATAGGTGGAGCACCTGCAGGAAGATGCTGCCTCTCTAAAAAAGCAGATGCAGAAAATAAAGGAACAGTTTCTTCAGCAGAAGGTAAAGTTGGGTTGTTGGTCTTCTTTACATGAAACAAGTGTATGGAAACAGTCTTGTCAGTGGTCTAATCGCTTCATCAGAGCCAGTCGATCCAGAGCAAGGTAGCACCTGGACACCTTCGGGTTTTTGTTATTAATCTTCGCCCAAGGATATGCTTACTGCTTTTAGAGAGGGGGGAGGGAGAGAGAGAGAGAGAGAAACATCAATGTGGGAGAGACACATTGATCAGCTGCCTCCCCTGTGCACCCTGACAGGGAATCAAACCCACAACCTTTCAGTGGACAGGACACTGCTCACCAACTGAGCCACAGCAGCCAGAGCCCTCAGGGTTTTTTTGTTTTTTTAAAAAAATACATCTTTATTGATTTCAGAGAGAGAAAGGGGGAGAAAGAGAGAGAAACATCCATGATGAGAGTCATTGATCGGCTGCCTCCTGCACGCCCCCAACTGGGGAGCAAGCCCGAAACCCGGGCATGTGCCCCGACCAGGAATCAAACAGCGATCTCCTGGATCCTAGGTCGATGCTCAACCACTGAGCTATGCCCGGCCGGGTGACACCTTCAGTTTTAAAGGCACTTGCTTGATTCTCAGGCATGCCCCTCACCCTCCCACCCAAACGTCTCCAGAGTCAGGTGTGTCCACAATGGGGTTGACGTCTGACTATGCAGATCATGCCCTGTGTTCACAGCAGAATGTCACCACCACACAAGCTGAGTTTCTGTTTAATGTGCTGGAAAGTGACCTCACAACCCAGCATTGACACAGGTTGCGGGGCGTGTGGTGTGTTTTTGTTCATGAAGCCCATTCGTGTGGGAGGAATGAGAGTGTCACCAGCTCAGGGTATGAGGAGGGCTGGCCCTGAGGGAGCATGCTGAGTGGTGTGGGCCTGATTACAAGGGGCAGCCTGTCAGCCAGGAGTGCAACTCGGAGAGGGAATTGCCAGAATTCAGAGGAGACAGGCATTTGAGGTGCCAGCAACTGGCTTGGAAGCTCTGCACTTTGCCCAGACTTATTTAGGAGCGGAATAACGGGGTATCTCAGTTGATGGTGTCTTTGGTTTGGTGAGATATATTATCTTTAGTCCCAGGTAAGTGGTGAGCATTTTTGTGTAAGCCGAGTATCCCCAGGGTGGCCCTGCCGGCACTGGCTGCAGCTTCTGTCCTGGCAGGTTATGGTGGAGGCCTACCGACGGGACACTGCCTCCAAAGACCAACTCATTGGCGAGCTCAAGGCCATGAAGAAGAGGCTGGACTCGGAGGTGAAGGAGCTGAGGCAGGAACTGATTCAGCTTCAAGGGGACAAGAAGTCTGTGGAGGCAGAGCAGTTGCGCTTGCAGAAAGAGGTGTCCCAGGTCCAGCAGCAGATGGCGGCTCTCGAAGGGCATCTGGAGTCGGTGCAGAGGGAGCGCGATGAGATGGAGACCCACCTGCAGGTCTGGGGATGCGCTGATGGTGACAGCTCAGCTGTGTGGGGTTCCGTGGTGGGTGGGGCACTGGGGGTTTATCCAGATGACTGGGGCAGGTGGACATACAGCTGTGAGGGCGACAGGCACCTGTAGGGAGGTGGCGTTGATCTGAGCACTGGAGGAGGGTGTCAGCGCCATGTAGCAAGCTAGGGGTAACGTGGCTTTGAGGGACAGCATGGAGTCCCAGGCTGCAGCAGCTGTTTGAAGCTCTGGGCAGTGGAGCTGGCGAGGGGTGTGGAGCAGTACGGGGGCTGAGGTTCACGCATACAGGTCCCGTGGTTGAGGGGAGGCCAGCGTGCACGTGGGAGCCAGGTGGGGATGGCAGTGACAGCCAAGGGCAAGGATAGCAAGACCTCATCCAGAGTCCTGTTGGGTCTGAGGGGCGTTTCCTGAGATGAGAAATGCGGGGACATGTCCGACTAGGGCTGTCTGACATGTGAGGTTTTTGAAGTCCCAGGAAGAGGCCAAGGCCCCTGTACCGGTTCACAGTCAGTCCTGTGGGTGCTGGGGTGCCCAGGAGGAGGGGAGTCCCACCCAGTGTTCCCTCCATCTGCCTGTGCAGCTCGGAACACTTGACCTCTCTGAAGTGGCCATTTGTAAAAGGCAAAGCTCTCTCTCAGGACTTTCCAAGCCCACATGCTCGAGGCAGCCCTGAAACAGGACTGTGTACCTGGGGTGCTTCCCGAATCGGGCAGGTGGGGCTTGTCCTCACCTGTCTTCCTCCCTCCTGTGCAGTCTCTGCAGTTCGACAGGCAGCAGATGGCTGTGCTGACGGAGACCAATGAGGTGCTCCAGGCACAGGTGGAAGAGCTGCGGCAGGCTGCCACCAGGTGAGCACTGGGCCACACCCTTTCTGCTTGTATTTTCATTTGAGTTTTGTATCCTGCTCTTGTTGGGCCCCCACCTCACCCCAGCACATCCCACACGTGCACACATGCTATGTTCGTGTCAGCCGTGATTTATTCGTGAGATTATGTTCAGTGTATTGCTTGCTTTGTTGGGTGGGAGGAGCAGCTCCAGGAACTGGGAGGGTCTGAGCACAGTGCTGGGTGCTACAGGGCCACCAACACTGGCCATGTCTAGGGCTCGTGAATCGGGGCACAGGAGTGGGAGAGGTCGAGCTGGGGACAGGTAAGGGAGACTTGAGACAGTATGTCCCCTCCGCCACCCCTCAGGGCCATCACAGAACAGAAGCAGAGGGTTACGCGGTTGGGCTCAGACCTGAGCAGCGCTCAGAAGGAGATGAAGAGCAAGCATAAGGCCTATGAGAGTGCTGTGAGCATCCTGAGCCGCCGTCTGCAGGAGGCCCTCACTGCCAAGGAGGCAGCCGAGGCCGAGCTGAGCCAGCTGAGAGCCCAGGCGGCTGACGGGGCCAGCAACCTCACGCTGCATGTGCGTACTGCATCTGCTGCAACCCATCTCAGCTTCTCAGGGTGGGGACATGAGGGGCTACAAGCACTTCCCCTGAAATCCTCATAGAACGCTAGGGAAGGGGCAGAGTAAGTGTGTGGGCAGCATTTCTCTACAATTCAGTGTAGTGTCGACGTGACCAGGGACGCGGACTGCATGCAGATCCTCTTGCATAGTCCCTATGAACCTGCAAGTCAAAATTTTCTGTATTTTCAAAGCATTTAACTTTGGTTACTTTGTACATGAGTTGCCGCTGTGCACACAAGGGTTAGCTGAACCTCCTGAAGGGAAGAGAAGGGCTGTGGGTAGCACTCACCTTTCTGTGGGGTCAGCTACCTCTCAGGGCTAGGCGACGTGGGGCTACACGGGAGAAAGGTTAGCACCTGTCATGCCGTAGTGAAGACCGTGACCTGGTTCACCTTGTCCTGCTGTTAGGAGAGAATCCAGGCCCTGGAGCTGGAGCTGCAGACTGTGGGCCACAGCAAGGTGATGCTGGAGAAGGAGCTGCAGGAGGTCATCTCGCTAACCAGCCAGGAGCTGGAGGAGTACCGGGAGAAGGTGCTGGAGCTGGAGGACGAGGTAGGTGAGCTAGTGGTTGCGCAGTGAAGTGGACAGGCCACACTCCTCCGGGCAAGCTCTGGAGCAGAGAAGAGGGGCCCTGGAGTGTCAGAGCCCCGGCCTATGTGCCCTACCTGACCGCATCTCTGGATCTTTAACCACCCAAGTGCCCAAGTGCTAGATCCCCCCCCCCC